GCGGGGCCGCTCCACCCTCCCGAGGCCTCTCCTGCCTGGGCAGAGGTGGCCATGGGTGGGGCTCAAGTTTTTTCTCCCTCCAGCTTGAAATGTTTATGGCTGAGCAAAGCCGCATGTCCGCGTTGCCAGGCAGTGGCTGGCTTTCCTCGGAGTCCTCTGCTTCCTGGGGCTTGGGAGCTCGGCAGAGTTATTGGGCGAGGAAGCTCTGCTTTCCAGCTGGGGGCCGGGGCCGGGACTGACCCACGAGGACGGGGTAGAGCGAGGGGAGGACTCTGAGTCCACACGCCAGGGTGCCGCCGGCCCACGGCCCGAGGTGGCCAGGCAGCGTGGACGGCGGGAGGCCGTGGGCTGGGGCCGGGAGCACCCGTGCCTTGATCCGGACTCCACGGCTCACCCCAGGCCCAGCCTCAGTTCCTCACCGCGCACACCGGGGCCCTCCCCCGAGACGAGGCTCTGGGTCGGCGACGGCCACGCCACCACCAGCCGCACTGGGGCCTGCTCTTTCCGTGGGCACGGCCGGCCCTCCCTGCGCTGGGAAGACAAAGGCCTCCTCCCCCGTGGATCGACTGTGCCGGGTCCAGAAAGCCCACCTCACAGCACACGCTGAGGTGGTCAGGAGGGGCCCCAAGGTTGAAAGTGCTGAGCCCCGTCTTGCCAGCCAGGGCCAGCTGGGGTCCTGGAGAGAGGCCGGCCGCCCGACCCTGGCACGTGGGGGATGGGGCAGGGAAGGCCTCTCCGGGCACGTGCCGCTTCCCCCGCTGTGCCGGTGGGCCAGGGGGAGACTGGCACCTGTGAGGGGCCGTCCATCGGCAGCCCTGCCGGGGGCACGGGGAAGTCCACGGCCCCACATGGTCCTCCAGGAGCTGCAGGCGCAGGGGCATGGGAGGGCTGGGGCACAGAGGAGGGGCTGGGGCACAGAGGAGGGGCTGGGAGGGAGGGGTGAGTTCAGCACAAAGCACGGGGGAGCGGGAGCGGGCGTGAGAGGCGCACGTGACCTTGGGGAATGTCCTGCAGGTTAGGCCGGAGGCTGGTGCAGGAAGCCTGGGGGATGGCCCCAGTGTCATGCCGGTGAGTTGGGTTAGACTGTTCTAAGGGGACTCCCAGGTGGGAGTGGCCGAGGTGGGGGTCTCCAGGAGCTTGGAGGAGGCACCGTTTATGGTCAAGTCCATCCTGGGGGCCTTTCCTGCGTGGCCCGATGAGCTGAGGCCCCTTCCTCCCTGGGGGGGGAGGGCAGGGAGGGGAACCACTGGGAGAGAATGAACGCCCTCACTTAGGCTTCGGGTCTGCCCTTGCCTGGGCGGGAGGGGCGGTGTCACAAGAGACAGCCACCCTGCTGCTGGGGAGTCACCCTCCCGCGTAGCCCTGTGAGGCCTGGGGTGTCTGGGGTTCGGTGAGGGGGACGGGGGTGCCAGATGTCGCCCGGCCCAGGTCTACCCTCTGCAGGGGAGTCTACACTGCTTTCTCTTCCTCCCAGCACCTTCCTGACAGAGCTCACAGGGACCCGTCTCTTTGTGCTAGAAGCCCCCACTGGGTGGGGTGGCCAGACCCTGCCCTGGCCCCTTGGCGGGGACGCCACCGAGGCCCCACCCGCCCCAGGACTCAGCCGGCCGGGGTGGGAGCCGAGTAAGCGGGAAACACTCGATGCTCGGTGGCCAGAACAAATCGCCCTCTTAATAGACTTTTCCACTGGAGCAGAGCTCCTTGACTTCAATTTATCCCCAGCTGGAAAACAAGCACATTTAAAGGGATGATGCGTGGTCATGCCGTGAGGTCTGCTGGGCAGGGCCAGACGCCGGGGACGTGCGGTCGCTGGGGGCACAAGCGCAGCGGGGCGAGGTGACCCAGGGACACAAGTGCCCACCACCTTACCTCCGCTGAGGTCCTGGGCTTCCACGTGGACCAGGTCAGGGTCGGCGTCCACCCCAGACACAGCCCTGAAAAGCAGAGGTCGGGGTTGGGGCAGGAACGGGGTCGCCACGCCCTTCCCCACATGGCCACCTGGGGTCTGCGGCCAGTCTTGCTCTGTGGGTCCAGAAGACACCGCTTCCTGGGAGCCCCACCCTGCTCCTGCGGGTGGACACGGCCTCTGCCTCTTCCCTGCAGGAGCCTGGTTGGCCCTCGCCCCCGCTCTGCGGTCCAGGCTGGAGTGCAGTAACCCAACCATGGCGCGCGGCATCCTCAAACTCCTGGCCTCAAGCGGCCGTCTTGCCTCGGCCTCCCGAAGGGCTTGGGCTACAAGTGCGAGCCCCTGCGCCCAGCCTCTGTTTGCTTTGATCATCAAGAATGACCACACAAGGTGGGCAGGCCTGGAACTCCCACCCTCATTTTGCAAAGAGGGAGACTGAGGCTCAGACGGGCAAAGTGACTCACCCAAAGTCACACAGCTATAAGGGGCTGGCCTGGGATTCCAACCAGGGCCCGAGCCTGAGCTTCACCCACCGTCCCTTTTCCCTGGCAGCCCATGGTCACCTCACACATCGAATGCATGTCCCCTCGGGAAGATTCTGCTCTCAGGCACTGACCCCCAGTGCAGCCTCCAGGGACTTGCCTGATCCTTCTGTGGGAGTGAAGGCTGCAGTGTGAGGAGTGCACCTCCCACCTCCGTACTTGACCGTTTGCACCCGGCTGTCCCCACACTCTGGGCTGGACGGTGCCCACCTGTGCACCTTACAGGTGAGCCCCCTGGGGCCAGGAAGCTTCCGTGGCTCGCCCAAGGCACGGAGGCACTATAAGGGCAGCCTTAGGCTTCTGCCCAGGTCTGCCCAGCCCTGAATCACATGCTGTCCTCGGACCCCATGCGCGGCCCTGTCCATGGCCGAGACCTCCTCCGGAGGCCTGGGTCCGGAAGGCCCTTGTCCTCTGGGACTCTGCCTCCATTGGGGGTGCTTCCAGCTTGAGAGGAGCAGTTGCGGAAACGGGGAGGCAGATTTTCCAACCAGCTGAGCTCTACAGAGGTCTCCGAGAGCCAGTGGGACCTGCTGTGTGCCACAGGCCCCGGGGACAGAGATAAGGAAGACGCAGTGGCTGCCTTGGAGCTCCTGGGCCAGGACACTCAGGCCAGGGCTGCGGGTCCACCTTGCTTCCCCCCCTTTACACTCCTCTCCCCTCTGTGCTGCCCTACTGAGCAGAGTCGTTTAACTGGGGTGGGGTGGGGTGGGGGGAGAAGCCTGTGTCCTTGGAGCCAGGGGCCAGGTCCTGAGAGTCTGCGGCACACAGCATGTCCCTGGGACCCACTTAATAGCTACATTTGGAGGCAGAGACTCAGGGCCAGAGAATTTCTTAGCTGCACCAGTCACTTTATCTCACTGATCTCAGAATAACCCCAAACGGTTCGGTGACCCCATTTTACAGATGAGGAGACGAAGGCTCAGAAAGGTGAAAACACCTTTCAAGGTCATGGGGCTACTAGCACAAAGATCTGCACCTCGGGTTCTGCCGAGCCCAAGCCAACATCCTTTGTCACACGGGTTGTGTCCTAGCTGGGCATGAACCAGTGCGTGAAGGGACAGTGGACAGGGAGGGGCTGCCTCCGAGTGCCCCGTTCCCACTCCAGGGTCTCAGCCGGAGTCCGCACCTTCCCGCCTCTTTGTCCTGGACTCGCCCTTGTGCTCTCACAGGCTGACCCCCACGTCGGGCCGGCTGGAGGCAGAAGGCTTCACTCACCCTCTCGGACACTCCTCTGGCTGTTTCAGTGATTCTGTTGCCACCGATCAGCTGTGGATTTTTGTGGTCCCTCTCCTCTCAGTACTCAAGAGCCAGTTGATGCCCAGATTAACAAGTCTAACGCCTCCCCGGTGAGGGAGGGTCTCCCATCCATCCACTCACTCCCTCAGCACGACAGCCCATGCACCTATCCATCCATGCACCCACCCACCCACCCGTAAATTCATGTATGCATCCAGCCATGTATCCAGCCATCCATCCATCCACCCATCCATCAACACATGTATCCATGCATTCGTCCACTTACCCGTCCATCTATTCTCACCTCCCTCCCGCCCGCCTTCCCTCCTTCTGTTTCTCCCTCCCTCCAGGCATCCAACCATCCATGCATCCCTGCATCCATCCATCTGCTTGGCACCTACTCTGAGCTGGTCCTGGGCCAGGGCTGGATATATAGAGACCACCCTGTAAGTGCCCGTCCGCCATAGTCTCATAGTCCGGGAAAAGATCTGCAAACATCTGTCCCAGGCTCAAGCACTCCAGGACTCAGGCTGGCAAGAAGCCATGCCCGCTGGTCACGCTGGGGCCCGGAAAGCAGAATCTGTCACTGAGCTGCATCTCGCCACACAGGCAGGGGATGTGGCAGGGGCGGGAGAAGGTTCTCTCTCCTCCTTGCCGTGTGAGAATGATCTGCCTCCATGAGTGGGTGGATACAAGTTCTTTGGGAGGCTGTGGTCTTTCGGACCATAGAGAACGTGTCATGCACTTAATAGGCGTCTGTTAAACGCTTTCGAGTGAATGTCTGAGGCTTAAAGAAAAAGGAAGGAAGCCGGAAGGAAAAGCCATTCTTGAACACCTACCATGAGCTGCACATTGAACTAAGCACGTCATCACCATTACCTGACTTCCCAGGACTACGAGATGAAACGGAACTTCCGTTTCATAGATTTAAAAAAGCCGAGGCTAAGTCGGGCTCGGTGGCTCAAGCTGTAATCCTGCGCCTTTGGGAGGCTGAGGTGAGTGGATTGCCTGAGCCCGTGGTTCGAGACCCGCCTGGG